TGTTGTTGTTGTTGTTGTTGTTTAGTTTTCGAGTTTAGGAAATGCCTCATCATGTTACCAGGACATGCTCCTGTGGTTTGGGCTTCGGGCTGCAGGGCAAGACTTCCTAACTCGATTTTGGTTCCCAATATTTCTGATTTCAGCAACCTTGAAGACTTCAAACTGGTTATGAAACCAATACCTCTCATTGAAGAATGCTGGCTCAAGGAGGGTGGGGCTCCCCGGGCGTATGTGGGGCGGCTTAGAACTCAAAGCTTCGGTGAGGGGACCCTAAACCCTAAACCCNNNNTATAAGTTATAAGTACCCTAAATAGGGTTATAAGTAGATATAACCATAGCCTCCAAGTAGTAGGGGACCCTAAACCCTAAACGTTAAATCGTTTCTGTGAGGCGGGCGGGAGAATTACTACTCTGCGCTGGTTACGCAGTGTCAACCCAGTGAGCCCACGACCCCCTTTCCCGTCAAAGAAGTACACATGATTTAAAGTAAAGTTTAGGGTTTGGGGTTTAATATAGTCTAGAGGCCTTACCCAAGAACTCCTATGTGGTTCCTTTTTGGATAGTATACTATAATTCCTTACCAAAAAAACATAACAGACCCAAAAAAGGAACTACATTGGAGCCCCTGGGTACTATTATGATTCAAGGATGATAGAGACTCATATCCCGAGATTCTAAGGACTTTAGGAGGGACCCCTAATGGGAACCCTAAATCCCATTACCTTAAATAACCATTGTATAGTCCTTATATACCCCTTATATAGCCAGGTTGTCTCCATTAACCCCAATAACCTACAAGGGTCCCCTAAACCCTAAACCCTAAACCCTAAACCCTAAATCCCTAAATCCCTAAACCCTTAATAAGTTTTAAGTTTTAAATAACCTACAAGGGTTCCTATTATGGGTCCCTCCTAAAGCCCTTAGAGAGATGCGCTCGGCTCTTCGGGCTAAGGAAAATCTACTCTCGGTACTGCTACGGATCGCCCTATGATAGAAGTTGAGGGTTTAGGGCGTAAGGTTTAGAGTTTTGGGTTCAGGGTTTAGGGTTTAAGGTTTAGAGTTTAGGGTTTAGGGCTTAAGGTTTAGAATTTAAAATTTAGGGTTTAGGGTTTAAGGTTTAGAACTTAGGGTTTAGGGTTTAGGGCTTCACGAAAAGGTCCGGGGGCTTCTAGGAGTACGGGTTTACGGGATATCCGAACTCGATGTCTGCCCCCAGAGAGCCCAGTATAACCCTAAGTTAAGGAGAATACCTGAAGTTATAGAGGGAGAACTCGCAACCCTAACCCTGAACCCTAAACCCCAAAACCCTAAACCCCTAAATCCCTAAACCTTAAACCTTCATAGTAGCCCTTGTAGAACCCTTTAAAGGAACCCTTTAAAGGAACCCCAAACCCTAAAAATCAGTGCCCCTAAACCCTAAACCCTAAATCCTTATAGTAGCCTTTATAGAACCCTTGAAGGAACCCTTTAGAGGAACCCAAAACCCTAAAAACCAGTGCCCCTAAACCCTAAATCCTAAACCTAAATCCAAAACCCTAAACCCTTGTAGTAGCCTTTGTAGAACCCTTTAAGGAACCCTTTAGAGGAACCCAAAACCCTAAAAACCAGTGCCCCTAAACCCTAAACCCGTAAACCGTAAATCCTTATAGTAGCCCTTATAGAACCCTTCAAGGAACCCTTTAGAGGAACCCAAAACCCTAAGAACCAGTGCCCCTAAACCCTAAACCCTAAATCCCTAAACCCTAAACCCCTAAACCCTAAACCCCCAAACCCCTCAACCCCCAAACCCCTAAATCCCTAAACCCTAAACCCCTAAACTCTCATAGTAGCCCTTATATCACCCTTTGAAGGAACCCTTTCAAGGAACCCAAAACCCTAAACC